CTCCCGCTCAGCATCCCCTCCCCGACACGGCTCCTCCTCCCCCGGGGGCAAGGGGAGGATTCGGCCGCTGTCGGCACTAACTGACCCCTCGGCCGAAATAGCTCCCAAAGGGCGTATTGGGGGGTAATTGCCGTGATAACAGCTTGTCTGCCGGGAGCCAGGCTGAGACCTCGCGCAGCTCGTCTCGCCTGTGGCTGAGGTAGCTCCGGCCACGCTGTGGGGCTGCACACCACGGCCCTGGCGAGTGACACGGCGCATGGAGGCATGAGGGGACACCAGCTCAACGGATGCCCGCGATGCCCCGTCGGCTGCAGGCTCAGCCCTGTCTCACCCCGCGCCGCAGCCTGGAGGGAGGTGACGGGGGTTAATCGCCCACCGCCTCCCCTCTGACCCCTCTGTGGGTTTTTCTCTTGTATGGTCATTTAGCCGTCCCCTGACACAAAAGGGAGCGATTAAACACAGCTCAGGCCCTTCATGCTTTAGTGGATTAATTTGCTGATCCCCCACGGATTAAAGGTCTCGACAGGATCAGCGGGAGCAGCGGGGCAGACCCCGGCGGGAGGAGGCCAGTGATAGTCCCGGGAAAGCCCCAACCCACAGCAATCCCCCTCTCCTGGGACCTCACGGTGTCGCCGAGCTGTGTCAGGGTTCAAGGCATCGGAAGCTCCTCTAAATACTGCGTCCCACAACCCTCCTGCTCGCTTTGCCAAGCAGCCAAGGGACGAGGGACAGGAGGTACCCATCACCCTGCTCGCTCCCGGGAGCAGAGCCTGTCCTCGATGCACCCAGCAAAGGCGGATGGAGTGAGCACAACCGGCTGCTCCAGAGGAAAGGGGTGACAGTGGTGACTTTGGGGGCTGGACCCCAGTGGGGATGGGGCACATTTGCCCTCCCCAGGCCTGCGGGAAGCAGAGATTGCATCTGCCTTTAATTACTCCCTCTCTGCATATCAGATGCTCGTGCACCTTCTGCACATGAATGCTGATTAATTGCAGGGTTAGGCTCCGAGGCAGGCCGGACCACATTATTTCTGATGTTTGCTCTTTTCACGAGGAGAATAAATGCCATGAATCCACAGTAATCAGTGGCTTTTAGCTTGTCACTCTTATGACACTCTTTACTTAGACCAGGAAATGGCAAATGTGGTGGAAATAAGAACTTTATTATCTCTTTTTTTTTCCCCTCCCCTCCCAAAAGGGAGGTGTGTGGTGAGGAGGGGGAAGAAGATGGTGGGGGCATCTCATGGGAGAAGGAGAAAGAGGCTCCATTTTCCCTGTGCCCAAGGAGCTGTGCTTCTCTCTCTTCAGTGAGGGAGAGAAGGAAAGCAGCAGCATCTTCTTTGTGGAAGGAGGCTGGGGAGGTACGTCAGGCTGGGGCTGTCCTGGAGCAGTGGCAGCACTCTGGGGATGGAGGGCAGAGGGGTCTCTGCTGCCTTCCATGGTGCCCATGGCCTTGTGTGAAATACCAAGTGCAGGCATACACCGTACGGCCACCAAACAGGGACATACATCCCTGGGTGCTACATCCAGCCTGGGAGACATCGAGAGAGCAGCAAGGCTGGGGGCACCCCCAGAAAGATGCTGTGCCTCCTGGCAGGGTGGGTGCTGTGGGATGAAGCAGCATCTCCCATCCCTCATCCTTTGCCTTCCCTCCCAGCAAGCCCCGCTCTCCTCCCGGCCGAGCCCCATCGGCTCAGGTGGGAAAGTCTTTCACCGCCTCCCTCAATGCCCTGCTACCGATCTCATTGCCACCGCTTAGCTCAGTGCGAGGGCAGCCCTCTGCTTTTCAGCAGCGAACATCTGGCGTGCTGCGGGCGCCCGGCCACCAGCCCCCTCCCCGCGCCGCCCGCCGGGGATGCCTACAATTAGGCAGCCCCCGAGCCCCCCGCTCAGGTGAGCGCCCAGTTCCTGGCGATGGAGGTGTAATTAAGGTTAATCAGAAGGCCGGGGGGTCAGGGTGGTGGTAGGGAGACCCGTCGAGCCTAATGGCGGCCGTAATTAGGCAGCTGTGGAGAAGCGGTTAATGAAGACGGCAACCGTTAATAAAGCTCTTCCTGAGCAGCCTTCTGGCCCGGGTAATTGAGGGATTTGCAAGTGCCATCTCCCCCTTAACCCTGTAATGAGCAGACCCGTGGCGGCCCGCGTTAACCCTTCCAGGGACGGAGGCGGCGGCGGCGGCGGGGGCCGTTGACTGCCCCGTGGCAGCAGGGATGGGGTCGTGGGATGTGGGTTTGAGCCTCTCCCCTCGCCACCGGGTCCCCCGGGCTCCCTCTGCCCCGTGGCTTCCCCGGGAGCCCTTTGAGCCATGCTCAAAGCGGCTGGCAGAGCCTTTGCTCGCAGATGCTGTGGTTTCCCACGCCTGCTTCGGCATTATGCAATTCCCCCCCCAGCCCTCGCCACCCCCCCGGCCCCACCACCCACCAGCGCCGGGATGTCATCATCAGCCCAGGCCCTGGGAACCCACATTGTTAGCTTAGTAAATAGAGAAATCCCCACTCAAGCATTGCAAATGAGGGCAGAGGGGGAGCCGGGGAACCGCGCCGGCCACGGCGGGCCGCAGGGTCTCTCCCCTCTCTCTCTCTCTTTGAGTTGTCAGATGAATTCAGTGGTTAACAAAGAGCAAGGGAGGGAGCTGAGCTGCCGTCGCAGCTGGGCAGGGCGGTAAGAGCAGGCAGGACTGCAATGCCAGCACTCCAGAGAGCAGCTTCGGCCCTGTGATGCTTGCTGCAGGTGGGCATACACCCATGGCTGCGCCTGACGGGTACCCCAGCATCAGCAACTCCACACCCTGAGGCTCGTACTGCAACAGGGGGTGATGTTTCAGAGGGCGAGACAACCAGGGGAAAGACTGAGAGGAGCACATCCCATCCTCACTTTGCTTCTCTGCTCCTGGTTGTACCAGTGTGGCTGCAATTCCCCAGGGAGACGTGGGGACCCTGCTGAGCTACGGAGACCCAAAGCATCCTGGAAGTGTCAGTAAGGAAGTGAAGCAGATCAAAAGACACAGAAATGCTTTTATTTTCGTCTAAAATAGAAAACAATCACAAAAAGACTTCTTTTACAGAAGGGTGGTTCTGCTTCTTTGAATGGGGGCATGAAAACAACCCAGTTAGTGGAGTACCCAGTGCCAGTTCTGGCAGCAGTGATGCTACTTTGGCTATAACACAGCCAAGCTTCTCTTGGCATGAGCAGGAGGTTTTCATTCACCTCTCACTAGGGATCCTCCCGTTTCCCTCTAGCTCTGGGTTTCTGCGCACACAAAGAGGTGTTGAGAATGGCACATGCCTCCCTTTGCAAGGTGCATGGGGCCCAGAGGTGCTGTAATGAGCAGTGTCTGGAGCCAGCCTCTGTGCTGAGACCCCTGTGTGTTTGCCTCTGCACCAGCCTGCACTGCAACTGGGGGGGGGGGGGGTCAAATCTTTATGAAGATGTGGAGGTGTGGATGCCCTCCTCTGCTGGCTGCATTCGCCTGGAGCCTGAGAAGGTCATGGTAATGTGTCAGCAGCTTGGCAGGCATTCTTTCCTTCCTGGCGCTGTGAGCAGTGATGCTGATGCTGTTGCTGACACCAAGCAGTGCTCAAGGACCCGCTGCTGCAGCACCCAGAGCTGCTGTCCACAGGAATCCCATGGTGGGCACAGCCCAGGGTCAGGAGAGCCCCTGGCTGGGAGCAGACACCCATGGGATTAGATGGGAGCATGGCTTCAGGACAGTTCTCTCTCTTTTACCATCATCACTGGACACTCAGGGAAATGTGCCCAGACATGTTTGCTGGAAAAAAACAAGGGCACATTTCCCAGGCCATGGTGATTTGTAAGGGGTTGAAATATCTCAGGCTTTGATTTCTTATGCTAACCTGGCTTCACTGAACTGCTTTGTTAAACTCTCTAAACTGTGTGATTCTATTATAGTAACATGCTGCATTTAAAACAAAATAAAGACCTTTCAGTGGTGACAGCAAAAACATTTCTCTCTGGGTCCCTGTCCCTGGTTTCTGCCACTGCAGCAGGACCAGCAGTGAGTAGAGGGGGCTCAGGGAGCCCCTGAAGTCCTGATGGGGAGTTCAGCAGGACAGTGGCAGCTCAGCCACCCTGGTAACTTGTGCCATTGGGTGAATGTTGGGTACCAAATCCTTATCCAACATAAGCAGGGGCAGACCTGCTCAGATCCTCTACTGGGACTGACCCCATTTGGGGGTACAACAGGTGCCTGGCACTCTGTGCCATGGGTGGTGATCCTTATGCCTGTCCCCAGGCAGGGACAGCTCCAAGCCTCATCTCCAGGGCTTTCTGTGCAGTGTGTGGATTTACTGCTGGTTATACTGGGGGAATTAGAAGGAGCCAAAACCCACCCCTCTGAGACAAACCCAGAGAGAAAATAGATGTTTGCCCTACCCTATGTATCAGGGTGAGTGTGTGTAGCGGTGGAGAAGGTGCTGAGAGGAGAGAACAGCTTGGAGCAGCTCTTGCATACAGGAAGGATGATGAAGCAGAAACTTCTCCCTGCAGCCCCAGATTCCCAGGGCCCAGAGGCTCCAGGTGCTTTGCACCTCATGCTGCGGGTGCAGGAGAGCTCCCAGGATTTCCAGCCACATTCCAGCACTCGGGAGATCACACTCAGACCACATCCCTCCATCCCTCCATCCATCTCTGGTCCCACGGGCTGCCCCTGCAGCAACACCCCCAACCAAGCGCTGTGATACATCAGCTCCTATGATGGCAGCTTTTGGTCTGGCACACTGCAGGGTCACCTCGATGGGAGCCACACATGAACCAGCACTTCCAGGTAATTTAAGGTGGATTTTTCTTGGGGAAAGCAAATTCTTATTAAATCATAGATTAAAAAAAAAACAGGGAAAAAAGGGTTCAGCAGTCTCCAGTAGCTGGTATCTCCTGGTGATGAGCATCGCCAAAACAACTTGGTAACAAATACATCCTCTCACTAATTATTTACCAGCAAACCTACTTGGGCAAATCCCACGAAGAATAAAATATGTAGATCTCTCATGAGAAGGTTGATTTATTTCACTTTTGGCTCCGTGCTCCATAAAACACATTTACCCAGGCACATACAAAATACATCCATCCCGTTCCCTTAAAACAAACAAAATAACCTCTCCTCTCCATCTGGCCCCTCTCCCTGCTCCTTTCTAGCCTGGTCTGCTTCCCTATTCCTCGCAATATGGAACATGACAGGGTATTTTCAATGCTATTTTTGTCCGTTGTGTCATAGCTTATATTTAAAATAGCATTTAAATCTGCCAAGTAGTGCAGTGTTTTAAACTGCTGTCAGACTGAATTTCTCCTCCTACATACCGCAGATTTCAGCTACGGCTTAAAGACAGCTGAGGGAAGCTTTTGAGGAGGGGGGTGGTGGAGGTGGTTGGGGACCAGATTGTCTGCAGGTGTGAGGACAGTCAGAAGATATTAATAGGGTAAAGGGATGCTAAAGGGGCTGGAGGGAAGGAGCAACCCAAAGAGAAGCAGGGAGGGTGCATATGGGGGTGAAATCACCTTCCCAAAGGGAGCTCTTGCTCGGGACAAAAGGCTGTGGTGATTGGATCAGCAGCTGTGGAAATGGGGGTCCCTGGTCTGAAGCTGAAATGAAAGACCCCCATCAATTGGTATGTGCTCTGTGTTTGGGGTTTGCCTCATGGGTCCATAAAATAGGGTCAAGCCTTTAGAGAGAGCAGCCCTAAGGCAGAGGGGGTTGTGCTTCCTTGCTTGCACTGGGGTTTATTCTCCCTTTCTTCATCATCTATTTTTTGGGACGTGGCTGACGCCTTGAAAGCCCTGCAGCAAAGTGGTACAGTCATGGCTCATGTTCAATGCCTGGGAAAGGGCCTGTTCCTCCTCCTCACGCTTGCTGGGATGTAAAAATCTGCTGGTCCCTTCCTTTAACCATCATTAATAAACAACACCTCCATCCCCAGCAGAGCTGGCTTGGTTGCAATCAAGTTAGAAACATCACCCTAACTTCACCCAGCCAAACCCTCAGCTAGCTCAGACCTCCATGACCCCTCCAAAGTCATCTCCCACCGGAGGAGGTGCCCTGGAAGTGGGGTTTCTCTCCCATCTCAGCCCTTTGCTTCGCGTGTTCCACCTTTAGGCCTTTACTCCAAGTGCTGGAGCAATCGTTTCCCCCTTCACACATCCCACTCTACCTGTGGGCACATCCCAGAGGCGTGATGGTTCCTGAATGGCACCTCCCAACCTCTCCCCCTTTGCTCTGCTCTGACCCTGCAAGCGTCTTCCCTTGCACGTCCATGTCATAAGATGCTCCATGCCATCATGCTCCCAGTTGCTGGTACAGGGATGCCCAGGCTGTGGTCCATGTTCCTGCCACCTCCCTCCTTCCCTTCCTCCCTGGCTGCTCCTGGCTCTGCCCCACTCGGCTTGACTGCCTGCATGGGAATTGTTGGCCACTGGGTCCTCCTCGATGCCTGGAGGGGTTGGTGCTTCATGGCGTGCCCCCCACCTTCCAAAGAGGGGTTGAGTTTCTTCTCTGGAGCCATCTGAAGCTCACTTCTTGCTCTGTCTCCGCTTGCATCTCACCCTCTCCCGGGACACGTGTGCCTGCCATTGATATCTCCTCCCATCCTCTTCTGTCAACACCGCCTGAGGAAGGGACAGATTTCATTTTTAGCAATGTGTCCTCTGTGTCAATAACTCCCCCTCATCCCCTCCTGGGCGGCAGGGCTATCTGCTCACCCATCTCCTCCTCCCTGCTTGGCAGGCAGCTTTCCCCTGCCTCCCCACCCTCTCTCCTTCACCATTTTCCCTTTTGCCTGGAGTTTTCCACCCCTCAGAGGGAGAGGTGACCCTTCCGTCAGCTCCTTGCTGTGTCACCCAGCACCACATCCCTTGGCACATCCCTGTGCGTGCCCCAAAACCAGCTCTGCCACCCCTGGACCAGGATGTCAGTGGCATCTGCATTACACCCTGGGCTGAGACAGCATCAGGATCTTTCCCTTTGGAATGACCTCGTGCCTCCAGCTCAGGAGGGGGCAATGCCCCGCGGACGGGGATGCCTGGTTGGGTTTGGTTATTTATCACACCAAGGCTGGGAAGGGGCACAGCTCCACGATTGCATTGTGCCACGTTAATCAGCCGCATTAGAATTCCAAGACAGCTCCTGCCAAAGTGACTGCGCGCAGTGCAAGGTGGCTGGGAAATGCCGGGAGCCGTGACAGGCAGGCGCGCAGGCAGACAAAGAGCTCGCTCCGTCACTCTGGGTCGGCTCCGGGAGGAGAAAACCAACACACACACACACGCATACACACCCCTCTCCATGCCACCACGCAGCCTCACGCCACCCTGCCATGCGGATACCACCGGACAGCACTAAGCAACCAAGCACGCAGTGGTCAGCCAGCTTGGCATCAGCCCAGCATCCTCCCATGGGGATGTCCAGGCTGGTTGTGCATCCGGGCTAACCCCATGTCCAACCACGGGGACGTGTGGTACCCACCACAGGGAGCTGGGATGTCATGGAGATGGGGATCACCTGCTGCTCAGCCCCCAGCATCCCACCCCTGCCTGTGCGAGGGGCATGTGTCCCCGTGGGGCTGAGAGCCCTCAGGGTGAGGGTCCCCCCCAGGCCTTGTGTCCCCCTCCACAGCCCCTGCCAGCTGTAGTAATGCATTTTGCCACAGGGTGCCACTATGGCAAAGCTGTAAGGCCGGCCGGGCCTTGCAGCCCTGTTGTATAAGCGATACCTGGCGTTACCCACGGTAGCCGTGGTTTCCTTCTTCCCCTCTGCTCCGACCTCACCCCACTTCCCCTGCAAGGACACCGCGGCCAGAGCACCCCAAATACTCATCCGAAGGGGATGGTGCTGCCAGGGGATCCTTGTGCAGCATGGCAGAGAGGGGGATGCTGCGGTCCCCTTTGAGGTGTCCTGAGGTGACATGGGGAACAGTGGGGACCCACATGTCACCAGTGCGATGGCACTGCTCTGCCTCCATCTGAGCCGGCAGGGGATATTGATCCTGGAGGGACCATGTGCCATATCAGTGAGTGAGGGGGATGCTGAGTAACGCAGATACCCAGGAACAAGGTGCTGACCCTGTTCCTCTCCTGCATTTGGGGTGCTGGGCTCTGGGGATGCAGCTCCCTGATAAAGAGGGTCTGGCTCCATTGCTGGGGGTCAAGCAAAGGGCCTGGCAAGGCCATGGCCACTCGCCTCCTCCAGCCTTTCTCCAAGCCAGCCCCATCCTCCTGCAAACCAGGCCTGTGAACTGCCTGCAGGAAAGGGGATGCTATAGCTGGGGCACCCCCATCCCATCCCATTCCATCCTATCCCATCCCATCTCATCTCATCTCATTCTATGGAGACAGCGCTATAGGAGCAAGCAGGCTGGGTCATGCACCCCAAGTTTCTCATCCCCCTGGCACACTCCAGCCCCTTCCCAAAGAGGAAGAGGTACCCAGGGCGGCTCAACCCTGCACCTACAGCGGCACACCAGCAGACCCATTCTGCACCAACATCATGGCTCAGCTTAGGAAACAGAGCTGCTGCGAGCTCTGCAGGATCAGGCCATAAAGAGGAGATATTTTAGGGTGAAAAGCACTCTGCAAATGGCAGGCGGTGGGATCCTGCGGGCTACATCCGCTGCAGGCAGCGAGAGAAAGAAGATTCGCTTCTTCCCTCACTAATAAAGTCTGGCTGAAATGACACAGTATAATCAGTGTTTACCTGGGAGTTTACATATGGTTTGTTGTAATTATAGTTTCAATTCCTGCTTTTGCTTTTTTTTTTTTTTGCTTTTTATTTTTTTTCCCCCAACATCTATTTTTCAATCAGTAAAAGTAAATACTATTTTCAGCCCAATGTAATTCTTCCACTCCCATGGCCACAAACACAGCAAGGAGAGCGATTCCATTTGCGCGCTGTGCAATTGAGCAGAGAGAGGAGCCCGGCGGCTGCGGGGCATCAGCAAAGCCACAGCGCGGGGACATAGGGACAAGCCGTGAGTGCCCTGGGACCTCCACCCCGTCTGGCACGAGGTATCTCTGCCAGTAAAAATCAGCATCAGGCCCAGCCGCTGCTTCCCATCCGCGTCGTTCAAACCCTAAAGCCGCCTGGTCGGAGGCAGCAGGGAAGGGATAAGAGCCATTAGGTGCAGCATCATTTATTTCAGGGCTGGCAAAGCTTTGTTCCAGCGTGGGGATTGAGTTGGCACTAAAAGCACCGCGATCACCCACATTTAATATTTCCCCCCTCCTGTTTTTACTGGTGTGATTTATAACAATTCAAGGATGCTGGTGTCAGGTCCCTTCTTCACCCAACTATTGTCACACACACACACACAGGCTGATTAAAACAGCCTGGCTGCCACTGGTTCCTCCTTGTCCATCCATCAGACGCTCCAGAGACAAACTTAGGCATCCTGCTTTCAGCCCTCACCTCCATGCATGTGTGTTCTGGGGCCGAGGGGTGTAAGACAATGTTGGGTATTAATTTGGTATGCAAATACATACCCTTAAAATGTATTTATAAAGGAGCATTTTTTTGTGTTGTGCCCCTAAATCCTTGGAAAAAAATAATGGGGAGCTCTGTCTCAAGGAGGAGTTGGGCATTATTGGGATGCAGAATAAAAATGCTGCTCTAGAGACACAGAGTTGAATATTTGCTGGTTATGGCCCCAAATCAGGCACTGTTTGAGCTCAGTGCCAAGGCACAGCCGCTGGTCGAGGCCAGTGGGCAGACATAGGAGGGGAAGCTGGATGATGCTGTGGAGAAGGGGACCCTTCTCCTGCCCTGAGGGTCTCATCCCCTCGGAGGAATCAAGCAGAAGCCATCGGCCCTGCCGGCACCCCTTTACAACCAGCATCCTCATCATCACCATTTTGGAGTTAAAAAAGGAGTGAGGAGGATGCTTCTCCCAGAGCCACATCCTCAGCCTCTGCTCTCCACCGTGCCCCGCTCCCTATCAGCGCAATCGTTTTTGTTACCAGCCCCAAAAAGGGCTGTTTTCTCCCCGGATGCACACACTGTCCTTGGAATAGCTCCAGGCCCAAAAGGGGAAATTACAGCAGGGTTTTGGAGGGGCCCAGCAGGGCAGGCAGGGGATGCGGCCGTGCGGGAGCGGAGCAGCTCCGCAGCAGTTTCAAGCGGGGCTCCTCAGCGTTTGAAGTTTGCTGCCCTGATCAATGCCTGTCCCAGAGTAGGGGCAGCTTTGGCTGATGCATTCCAGAGAGGCTGAGTTTGGGGTTTCCTAAGACAGGGGGAAGGAGGGTGAATACTGGCCGGGTGGGGAGCAGCATCCTTCTGCTGCTGCCTGACACTGAGGAGAAACTAAACCCCAAGCAGTTTCTTTAATGTAAAATAAATTGAGTTCACAATAAAATACCTATTCTCCCCAAACATGAATATATATTTTTACTGTGTTCCTTAAAGCCAACCCCGCTCAACCCTTTTCCCCCCAAAATTAAGGATTTGCTGGTTTAAATTCTCACCCAAAATATTTATCGCAAGGAACAAAGATAGTGGGATCATCTCCGGGGCTGGATTTCAATTCTCCCTTTCAGGCTTTCATCTTTTCAACCCAAATTTCAGTGACAATAATCCCATTTTGATTGACATTAAAATTATTTATTGTCACATTGTAACTGTTTAATAAATTGTGCCTGCTTTATTTTGGGGGGGGCTCATAAAAACCATATCTTTATTACCTTGGTGCTTAATGCAAGGGAAGGAGCCACTTGTGAAGGCAGGCAACAATAGTGTTAGCCCAGACAAGATGTAAAAATGCCTCGTTACATGTGTGACCCTGAAGAAAGAGCTGGTTCCACCTCTTTGCTAATTTATATATTTAAAATCTCTGGTTTATACAATTTTTGCTTTATTTCCTAATGGTAAATATGCTGCAATATCTAATGGTAAAAATCCTGCAAGATGAGGATGATTTTAGTCTCCATCCAGCTCCTGAACAATGAATTTATCAGGACTATTCTCAAAAATCAGGAAAACAATTCCGGCCACTCTCATGGTCCTGATTTAGGAGATTTTTCACCATTCTGGGAGTGAGCCCATCCAAAACCAAAATTAAAACAAAGCCCCGAGACATCCATTCCAGAGAGCCATGAAAATCTGGGTCGCGCTGCAAATGATTTCTTCTGGTTTTTAATTTCCACAAATTACTGGAAGTTGCAAGAAGCATCATCACATTTTATTGTTTAAAAAGAAAATAAAATAAGGGGAGAAAATTAAAAAATGACACAGGAAAACGCAGCCCTTCCAGAATAAACCAAAAGCAGTTTCCCTGGCAAAAATATTTCCCTGGGTGGAACATTTCAATGGGTCCCGCGGATGCCTTTTGCCAGGGGGTCTGCCTTTTCCCCCTCGGTACCAGGGGATGCTGGGGGTGCGGGTGGATGCAGGGCCCCACGAGTGCTCTAGGGCCACAGCATCTCCCCTCCTGCCTGCGGCAGGCACAGGAGGCTGCTTGCCCAGTCTGAATGCCCTGAAAACCCTTTATTGGGGGAGCCTTTGGTGGGTAAAGGAGGTGTCTGTGAAGAGTGAGTTTGTTCCCTGTGATCAAACCAGGGTGGAGGTGCCTGGACCTCATATGGGCTCGTGGGACTGGGGACGGTTGCAGGGCAAAGCAGGGAGC